TAAAAGATTATAAAGGAGCCATAGTGTATTGGAGTTGCCCTGCTTCGCAATTTCTTTACAGCACTGGACAATACAGGGATTTCGATTTTCTATCAATGTATTGAAGTAGTAAAACCATGCTTAAATATATGTTATTTTAATTTTTATTAATTTTACTGATTGTGATAATTTTACCAGTTTTTAGAAAAAAACAAGAACATAATACTTCATATTAATATTATATTTTAGCTTGAAAACAAATTCTTTGAACAATTTGATTTTCCAAAAACACCAAGCAAATAACTACGATACTGTGATTAATACTTTAGCTTTTCTTCGAAAGTCTTAAAAGGAAGGGAAACAAAAACCTTCCAAAGATTGACTTTCACTATTGAATCAAGACGTTGATCAACATTCTGTTGTATCGAAATTCCTCCCCAACCCAATAGAATTTTCATTAAATGCCAAAAGAACTCATTTTGCAAATGGTTAAGATTAATATCTAGATGGAATGCTAGTTTCAGGGAAATCACGGAGCGAAAGGAAAGATTTAATCTTTTTAAATGTTTTCATGAATTTTCCTAGAAATACGTAAGCTATTCCCCGCGAGGAATTTCATTCTAGGTAAACCATTCGATTCTATTAATCATCTGAAAGGGTATAAGTGTAAATAACTAAGATATTTCTTTGATGTCGGTGAAATATTTCGATGATTTTCTTTTTGAGCTAAATTATATGTTTCTCGCAAAGTATTCAAACTATTTCTTCCCATTTCCGACAAAAGATTCTGTTTTCTTAAAAAAGTGATTTTTTTTCTTAAAAATAGGTCTTTTTAACTAGAACTACCTGCATTGCGTAATACGCTATATAAAATTTAAAGCATAGCTATATTAAAAAAATAATAATAAAATGAAATAAAATTTATGAAAATACATATTTTATGTAGACAAAATAAGGATAAAATAATTTTATTTCCGTCAGAACTAATAAGAAAAACGTGCCTATCTTTCCAAATATCCGTCGAAGTAACTAATAACGAAAATACCGTCCAAAAGTTATTTCGTTTTTAAATCTGACAAAAATAAAATTACTTTCTTTTATTTATTTTGTTAATTCTTTTATGTCGAAAAATGGCTGAAATTTTGATTCGATGTAAAAAAACGATACATTTTGATGGCGTCATTTTGGAAACAATTATAAGCTGTATTGGAAGCATGTACAGATTTCCAATTTAAATTTGAAGACTCTTGCTAAGCAGAAAGTTCAGTTTTGATCATCACTCAAGCTAAGTTGATCAGATGTCCTCAAACCTGTCCCCCTTCGAACTTCAATTGTTGTGATTAAAAACTTTCAAATCACCTCACATTTCAGTGGAAGCATCTCATATTTTTCTATGCAGTGAAACATAAAAGAGAAACACACAATTTTTTTTTCCAACGCAGAGAATACAAACGAAAAGCAAAAACGTGGGTGCGTTTTTATTCGTCTGAAACTAATTCCAAAATTCAGACTCATTCAAAAATAATGTTGCAACACAAGCAGAATATCATATGTCAAAACTGCTTTGTAATGAAATCAAGTTTAAAGATGGTTCTGCATCTAATATTAATTATCAATTAAAAAAAAGAAATCATTGCACATACAAAATAATATTTTTTAAATACAATATATACTTTGAAATCACCAAAATGCGTGTTCTCGAATCATAAAATTTTTCAGAGACGCTCCGTTGATTTGTCCTCAAATCATGGTTCAGAAATCTGGTCACCTGACGTCAAAGCGAAAAATGATCAAAATTTGTGGAAACGATGAATTTTTCGTCTATAATTCTGAAAAAATTCACACCAAGTTTATTTCTGTTGACAGAGATAGTATTTCTTACTATTTTACAACTTTAAAATGATATACGAAAGACCACCAAAGTAAGGTCTCCCGTTGTTTTAGAGTACAAAATTCATTTACTTTCCATAATATTCCCATTATTCTAAGCTTGACGTTTGTTAATTTTTTTACATAATAAAATTTCCATTTTTCCATTTGTCAAAGAGCACATAATCAAGGTCAATTCTTCCACTTGTCAAAAAGTTGTATAAACAGGCAAGAGTCACAGGATGCCAAGTTCGGACTAAAGAGGGAGTGAATGAAAACTTTTTATTCAGAATAAACAACAGCAAAAAATATTTGATTTTAAAGCATAATAGTTTCAGTTATATCAAATATTAGAAACATCGACCTATTTTTTTAAAAAAATGCAAAAGCACTTTAAAAAGAGCACTTTTTTTAGAGATTTTTGCCCATTTATTGACACAGCAAAATTTTCAGACACTACAGTCAAGTGACTCTCTGTGAAGTTATCAGTTTTAGTTCTGTCTGCCATATTAAAGTAAAATGTATGTTCTATTGGCTAATCTATTCTATCCTCCTTCTGAAAAAAAAAGCTACAACATCCAATTTCAATTCCGGGGCGGTTGTGGACTATTCCCTGAATATAAATATATTTCACGTGCCTTCTAAAACCACCATTGCATGATTTCCCAATTTTTTTTTCTGATCCATGGTAATACGCATATAAAAACAATTACATTTGCTTACATTTGATTCAATAAATTAATGATAGTTGAATCACATTGATATTATTGAGCTGCCGATCCAATTTTGAGTTTACGACTACCAATAACTAGCTTAACCCTGACCTGCCCCTGCAAAGGGTCATCCGAGCACATACCGATAACTCGAAGTACTCGCTCGTTTACGACTACTAATGTGCAATTCCATAGCCTTGTAATTCTGTCACCAATCCAGGAGACGAGAGAATTCCTGGATCAAGTATTGGGTGAAATTTGCCTTCGTGGAAGACTATTTGATGGAACTAACCCGCATTCACGTTACTTGAAGAGGGAAACCACGAAAACGGTTCACAGTTTGTCTGACGGCAAAGAGACTCTAACCCATGATTCGTCTACCACTGAAACATTTAGCGTCAACAATGTAGTGGGTTCGAAATTCGTATCACACGCCATTGTTGGGGTTCGAACCCGGGTCATCTCAATGGAAGACAAGCGCTCTATTCCTTCAGCCACCACGGCTCAATCACATTTATTCTGTTTTATATTTTATAATTGCCGTTGAACAGCTGGTTCAATTTTGAATTTAAGGCTACCAATGTTCAACTCCGTAGCCTCGTAACTTTGAACCCAATCCAGAATACAAGGAACTCCTGGATCAAGTATGGAGAGAAATTCGCCTTCGTGGAGGACTGTTTGATGGAACTAACCTGTATTCGCATTACATGGAGAGGAAAACCCCGAAAACCACCCATGGTTAACTTGACGGCAAAGGGACTCTAACCCATGATCCGACTACTAAGAGGATATTAATCACATTCATTGAAAAAAATAGTCAAATGCCTGTTGAGTGTGGAATTATTAGAACAAAATTATTAGAAAAAAAACTTTGTTAAATCATATGATACTACCCATATGCCATAAATCATCTTTATTTTGATTGCACTACACTATGGTTTATGCATAGCTAATTAAGCATCACTAATTTTTCTTATATAATGTATTTGACATTTTTCTACAAATATTTTACAATTTAATCTGTAAAACTTAAAATTTTAATCTAATCAAATGGGTTATCATATTTTCAATGAAGATTTTTTAATTTAAAAAAAAAGTATGTTCTTCGATTAAGAAAAAGGAGAAATTTTTAGTGAGAAAGAAATAAAACTTATAATTCTAATTGTTAGATTATGTAAAGGGAAAAAAAATTCTTCGGTACCTAATAGTGAAAAAAAAAAAATGCACGCAAAATATCGATTCCTTTATGAAACATCTTCCGTTACAAACCTTATCAAAAAATGAAATCGTTTCTCTGTTTCCAACTTCAGAAAAAGCAAAAGAAAACTTATTCTTGTAAACCGGATACGCGCAACAAAAATCAAAAATGGTCGAAAGAAGAAAAAATATATCTGGCAATGATGGCACGAATCGACAAATGTGTCGTTTAGCCAAGAATTTATGGTCTTCTAATTATGGCATGCTTCCGTACAATCGAAGCCCCTTATTGACCGACGGAATAGCAATTAAATGAAGTGGCGTGCATGCATGCCGTGACACGTTTTCGAACAGATAGTTACATTGTGAGGAAAAGCCTGATTTACAGGTTAGTCGTTGAAGAAGCACTACTTTTTGGGTAATTTTTCTATATTAAGCGACAAATGCAATTAGGAATAATTGGAAAAGTATATTAAGAATATATGTTTTTCTGTGCATTTGTTGCAGACGTTAATGGCATATCTTGGTGATTCAGGCAAAAAGAATTAAGTCATTTTTTTATCGTGTGATTTTTATGCTTTTTGCAAATAAAAAAAAATTAAAAATAAACGCATATACCTCACTTTCTATTGTTAAAATCCGAAAAAAATTAACTTAGCGTCGAGCCATAATTTTGGTACTTTACCAGAATGGTAAAGTACCAAACGATATGGCATACCATTTTTTCTTAACACTATTGCATACCATCTAACTAATTTACTAAAATGTGAAATCTTTAAAGATTGGCCTTGTTCATGTTTTTAATACTTTTCAAACCCCTAAGGGTACACTTTTAAAAATTTATATATGCTCAACTAAAGAGAAATAGAAAAAAAAAATCGCATGCTACTGCATAATCTCAATGTCTGTTTGTAAAAACAAAATCACAATAAATAAGTGAATTTAGAGTATCTTCCTTATGTTAGTGCTTGAAAATTCCTACTAGCATCTCAAAAGTTATTCAGGAAAATCCTTAAATTTCTTAAATATCCATTTCTGTTGCAGCAATAATTAATAATTTTCAGAAATGTTTAGAATTTTCTTAATATAATTACAATAAATAATTAATAATTTTCAGAAATGTTTATAATTTTCATAATGTAATTATAATAAATAATTAATAATTTTAAGAAATGGTTATAATTTTCCTAATATAATTATAATAAAAAATCAATAATTTTCAGAAATGTTTGTCTTTTTCAGTCTTCACAACAGTTGTTTGCGAGGAGTGCACTCTTCATCAGTTGCATGGATGTCTGACATCGCTGCAGTCGGTCACTCAAGGAAACGATCTGGCATTGGTCACAACACGATTGCAACTTCAAGCTGTTTGTCGGTAAACATCTTTCTTTCTTTTTCCTTCCTGATTCTTAATTTTTCTGCATAGCTCTAGAATCGAATGTCAGTGTTAAAACCATGAATTATAATATTTTTCGTCGCTTTTTGCAATTTTCCTGTAGGAGGATGGTCATTTTAAAGCACGGTCTTAAACATGCGTTTTCATACGCAAGTTCAGTGCTAAAAACAATTTTAAATTAATAAGTGGGATGATTCCTTGAAGTTCATGTTTAGTTTCAATTTAGATTTACACCATAAGAAATTTCCGTAAAATTCAGAGAGTTGAGCCTTAAATTATACGGCCAGCTCTCTTCATTCAGAAAGAAGGTCAGAGACCGTAATTGTAGCTTCAGTTAACCATTACTTAAAAAGTCTAGTTCCAGCTTTCATTTATTTACTTATTTTTTTTTTAAAAAAAGCTATTCTTAAATACATTTGTATTAATTGTTTTTACCTTTGCCTCAACTTTTACCCACAGCTATAATGAAAAAAATTATTAAAAAAATTATAAATTTATAAAATGAATATATTTTTCATTCGAATTCATACTAAATTATAATTATTTCACCACCAAAACTAAACTTTACATTCTGTCTAATATAGAAATAAATTACTTTTACTATTAATTGGGTTTCATGCAACTTTCCATTGCGTCAGCCACTGTGTAAGTCTTCTTACTCAATTCGGGGAGTGAATTCTGTGTTCCATCGTGGCTACAGCATTTGTGTCAGCCACTGTATAAGTCTTCTTACTCAATTCGGGGAGTGAATTATATTTTCCATGGTGGTTACAGCATCTGTGTCAGCCACTGTGTAAGTCTCCTTACTCAATTCGGGGGTGTAGTCCATTCTCCATGGTGGTCACAGCATCAGCCTACGGATACAACAGTCTCACGCTCTCCTCCAGCTGGTGCCAAAGAACGCCTCGCTTGCAAACCTCGACATTGTTGGTCACGGACAACGAACACGCAACTCTCTCACACCTCGACAGATGGCAGCGCTACACTATTTCGTCTCTTACCATAATTCACCTTGATTTGATAAATAAATAGCCTGAGTCTCAAACAACATCAACGTCCAAATTGAGGATAACTTACACAAGCATGACTTTAATTTAAGGTCAATAGCCATATGTTTTACGTGAAAAATTTACGGGTAGACCTGTATTTTTATGGTCAGGATAAAGGGTAAAAGTTAAAAAATTTCTATTTACGGATATTGACTGGAAACTATTTTGCCAGTCACTGGCCGTAATCTCGTTGCAAAATTTTTAGAGTGTGCTCAAATATTTTAAGTTCTATCAAATAGTTTAGTGAATATACTTTGCATGCAAGAATCGAACATTTATTTCTACGCATTGCTTAACTCTTCAGTGAAGCAGTTTTTAAAAGAAATAGAATGTTTTGTATGTAGTATCGAAAGGTTTCTATACAATCTAAAGCTCCCTTTTTTCACTAAAATGTCGTTTAACATGTATATCGCTAATCTCTTTAAAATGAAAATAATACGAGAATAGTTAAGAAAAAAACCTTGATCATTTTTCATTCTCAGAAAAATTAAATACAAATTGGATAGTAGGTGGAAACGATGATGAAAAATAAGTACACAATTAATGTGATTAAATTTTATAGATTCGTATGTATAGAACTTTTGATGTATAGTGCCCAAAAAAATTTCAAAAAACGGGTCCGTATATCTTTTGATCCTAATGATCGTATTTTCACGTTCTAGGACTCAATCTTAGTGGTGTTTGAGGGGGTGACCTCAAATATGCTAATTATTAAGTGCAGGCGATATTTTAAGTTATGAAATCAGACACAAAAAACATAGTTTCTCTCAAAAAGTGTACTTTTTTTCAACGGATTCGGATTTCTGACCCCCAAACTATTGGGGGTAGCCTCAATCTGGAAAATAAGGTCCCAATAGTTTGGTCGGGAGAGCCCTCCAAAGTTTGGACCCCTTAATGATAATTTTACTTTTTCCATATTTCGCTACATCTCGAGAACTTTTTAAACAAAATGAAAAAATTTTGCACACAACTATAAAATTCGTGTATAAAAAGGTAATTCCATGTAAAACATTCATAATTTTTTAACTTTTAGTAAACATTCATAATTTTTTAACTTTTAGTAAACATTCATAATTTTTTATTATTTTATTTAAGAATGATCGAAAACATTTTGAATTATAAGGTACAAAATGTTTTTGCATCATTTTAAATTTACGTGGCAAAATACAAAATTTAAGCAAAATCGGTTGAATAGTTTTTGAAAAAGCTTAAATCTTTTAGAAGCAATGACCAACTTTTAATAAAACTAAAAACGAGCTTTATTTGAATAAACAATAATTATACATGCATGGAAATAGATTCATAGCTTCCTGAGTTCTATATCTTCTTTCCAAAATGAGGTAAAGAAAGATAAATCCGTAGTTTCACATACGCTATAGTTAGGTATTTATCGATACATTAAAAATCACAAGCTTATCAGTACATAATCTAGAGAAAAAAATCTTGACCCAGTTTTATTCGTTAAGATTACAAAGTAGTGGCTTTTAATGCTTTATTTTACAAAGGTTAAACATTAGAATTGTCACTACTTTTCTGGGGTTAATCGTATTTGGGGAATTCTAGCTCAATTATTTCACTTAAGTAAATAAGGGCTTTTGCAACCTGCTGTTTACAAAAGGCGTAATTACAAGAAAAGCCAAGTTTTCGAGTATTCTAGCTTCATTTAATTCCTTTCCTACTTCTTTAAAATGACCTGCAAAATAAATAAGTAAAAGCTGGGATATAATTTGAATTCATTTTTATCTGATTATAAATTTAATTTTTTATTATTTTTTAGGCTCCTTAGAATGCCTGTTTAGGTTTGTTATTAAAATAATGTTACCTTTAAAGGCTTTCCTTCGAAGGAATTGTCGTCAAAAGAAATAAAACCTTAGGATGGAGTAAGCTATTTTTATGAATCTAACCTATGCTCCATCTACCACTGTGGTAGGTGCAAGCTGGATGCGGAATTCGTATCGACCAGTCATCGCCGGGATCGAACCCCGGTTCACAGCATTGGAAGGCGAACGCTGTATCCCCTGAGTCATCGCTGCTCACTGTACATAGTTTTTATTTTATATTTTATAACCGTCGTTGAACGGCAGACCCAATTTTTGCGTTTATGACTACTAATGTTCAACTCCGTAGCCTTGTAATTTTGAACCCAATTCAAAAGACAAGGGAGCTCCTGGATCAAGCATTAGAAAAAATTTGCTTTCGTGGAGGACTTTTTGATGGAACTAACCGGCATTTACGTTACATGGAGAGGAAGACCATGAAAACTCCCACGGTTAGCCAGACGACAAGGGAACTCTAACCCATGATCCGTCTACCACTGAGGATATTTCACATCAGCACTGTGGTCGGTGCACGCCGGATGCGGAATTCGTATCGACCAGCCATCGCCGGGATCGAACCCCGGTTGCACTCACGGAAATACTCACGATTTCGGCACCGCTTGGCGCGGTCGAGAATAAGAACTCTGAAAACCGCAAAATTGAAAATATGGTAACCCGACCGATCTATTCGTCACATCTTGCTACAGCGTGCAACCCTATTTCGTTGATTGAGTAGGAAAATGATTGTTCTATTCTATTTATAAATTTCTTTCTTATTTACTTCTATCTTCACACCGCTCTTATATTTTTTATAAGCAGTTTTCGTTTTGAATGAAAAATTCATACTTAATTTAATGTTTATGTCTCAGAATTTTATTTAAAAATAGATTCTCGTAAAAATTTTATTTTTCAACTTCTTTTTTTTTTAATTATTGTTCTTAAAGGTGTAAAATCTATTCTGTTTCTTTTTTTAAAATTTAAAAAAAAAAATTTTTTTTTTTAATCTCGTGCTAAGACAGTTTACCATTCTTTACTATGTTATGTATATAAAGTCTTGTGTGCTAATTATATACTAAGGCATATTGCATTCAGTTTGTAATTCAAATGTAAGGAACTTTTATATAAGGTACTTTTTTTATTGCAATACATTGCAAAAATTGCTTATTGCTTATTGCTTCAGCATTTCAGATGCTTAATTAGGAAAAAAGATTAATTCTTTTGTTCTAAATGCATAATAAAAATTCTTCACAATGAAATACATATTGTTATGCTAATAATGAACTCTAAAAGATTTGAGAAATGAGTTAAGGATGCACATTTAAAAAAAATTGTCTCACTTGTTTGCTTTTTCAGATATAGGAGATTTTATTAAATCGTTTTTCATCAAATTAAACATTTAATCAGAAAAAGGTGAAAATTTTCAATGTGGAAATGTATATAAGAAATTATTCACAAAGTAATCGATACTTTTACGCAAATAATAAATTAAGATAGATCTGAAAAAATAGACCTGAGAAATCAATTAATACATTTAAAGTGCTTTACTTTAATCTTATCATTTTTTTCATTTGTTTGCAGTTTCAAAAGTATTTTTTTAAAAGTTTTAAAAAAATATTTATATATTTTTCATTATCATATGCAGCATTTTACTTTAACTTTATTACTTTATTCATTTTCAATAAGATGAAGATTTTAATGAATCTACTTCATTAGTTTGCAGTTTCAAAAGTTATAAAAATTCAGAAAAAAAGTTTTATTTAATTTTAATCCAATCAAATTTACTTTAACATTATTTTATTCAAATGTAATTTCAAAAGTGATAAAATACAAGAACCAAGTTTTATTTTATAATTATACCACTAAAAAAAGAGGGCCATTAACATTACTAAATAAGATATTATATAACAGTATAAGAAAAAAAAAAAAGGCATGATAGATTCAAAATAAATAATATGAAATACTTCACAGAAAAATTGATATTTTTACACAAATAATAATTAATTGGGGAATATCTTAGGAAATGGATCTACAAGAGCAAATTATACATTTAAAATAATTTATCCTTAGAAGGCAACAGTGAACTATTTTGTTAATATGAAATATATTTCAGATGTTTTTGTATATAGTTTTAAAAACTTGTATTCTAAAATTAGTTATTGTGCCTTGACATAAGAGTTTCTCTGTTATATGATTATACCAACAGTTGATACAGTTTGATTATACCAACCTACACTTTAGTATATATAAAAGTAAAATATATTTTAGGGCTCTAAGAGAACTTTTACTTTTATTTGTTCTTTAGCATTTATGCTATTTTTAGCCTAATTGATTTGTTTTATCCATCATGATTGCTTGCATCTTAGAAAATATCTAAAGTTGTTTTATCGAGAAAATTACATTGTCAACAATGTCAACTTTTATCATAATTAACAACACTTAAACTCGAAAAAAGGTTGTTCGCAAGTATAACACTAGTTTCCATTGCACATATTTCAATTATGAGTTTGGAGTTTAATTAAAAAAAAAACTATAACTTTATACACAATAAAAAGATTTTGTTAAAATTTAAATCAAATCAGTAAAAAAATATTTCATTTATCTATTTAATTATTTATTTATTTAAATTTTTTTTTACTGAGAAATTGATAATAAAAAACACTTCTGAGAAAACTCTAAACAAGTCAATACAATCAATGCATCAGAATACGACATCAGGTCAATGCTCTTCACAGTCATAAAATTTTAAAATTAAATTCCAGCTTCGAAATTCTGATTAAAGCTTAATTTGAAAGATTTAATTAAAATTAATACTAAATATTGCAAAGAGAATTTTGTGTTTTAATATTTGCGTTACATGATCTTATGAAAACACAAAACAATGAAAGCCATTGTAACAAAATAGTGAAAACAATTCTATCCCTTGTTTACAAACGCTACGCAAAAGCAATTCGACGACAGAGCAGGTTTGACTTAAAAAGTTTTCGCCAAGAATGCCAAGCGGTGCCGAAATCGTGAGCATTTCCGTGAGTGCACCCCGCACCACTTCATTGGAATAGTTCAAAATATCGCCTCGCCTCAAGTGTAAGGAACCTTAAACTGTATTTTTTTTTATTTGAGAAAAGTGCTTTGTTATTGTAAGACACTGTCAAAGATTTTTTTTTCAAGTGGGGAAAAAACCACCAGATTTCTGCAATCTTTTTAAAGAGGTTTAATATATATTTTAATTTTTATAGTTTAAAACTAAAACTTTGCTACAAATTTAAGACACTCAAACTGCGGCTTTTTCTTCTCGTAACTGTTAGTGAGATTTCGCCAATTTAAGATCACGCGATTCATTCAATTCACATTCCATGTTCATGCGTTTAGTTCGAAGGTAAGCTTAAGCAGAAAACAACATCTAACAGTTATAAACAGCGTGCTTGTAGCTTTGTCTTTGTAGCGTAAATTAAACCAACATAACGTTAAGATACGTCGCATCTAAAATAAACGCGAGCATGCGCAGTTACTTCAGTGTTACGTACGAGAGCGTACGGAAGCTAACATAAAAGTGCGAAATATCCCTATTATTGAAATTTAAGAAGGATACTTAATTTCGAAGCGTTATTAGAAAATATATTAAACTTTTTTTAATAAGTTTAGTGCTAACCTTCTTATTTGTTTTTCTTTTTTTTAAAAAAAAGCAAGGTAAATTTTTTAACAAAAATAGAATTTTATTAATAAAAATAATAAATACATAATTTATTAATTCATCGTGTAACTGTTGAAATCAGTTTCCTAATTTTTAATTTTCTTATAAGTAAACTGCTTCATATTGTTTATTTTATTTTATTGGATTGATTTTATTGGATATTGCTTATTTTATTGGATTTCTGATAGGGCCGTAAGAAGCAAAAGGTTTTTGATGTAATATTTCAACGAAGGTTTTTGATATAATATTTCTAAAACTTTGTTTATCAAGACATGTCTGAGAATCTGACTTATTATTGATAATGTTTAGAAGAAGTAATATAGTATAATTAATATTTTGTAGTTTAAGAGGCACATCTTGGATAGACAAATCATTTGTTACTGCTTTTAATTTAGGCAAAATATGAAACATAAATATTCCTTTTGTGAAAAAATATATCTTTTTTTCAACATATTCTAATGCTTTTAAAATAGGAGGTAAGCGACTGTCGTTTCACAAACTAATTCTCTAAATCCTGTTTAAATCTCAATCAGTACAGTCATCATTCAATATAGATTTTTTTCAATTTATTGAATTAATTGAATTTGTTTTAAAATATAATTTCTCATTGAATATTTTAAGTTTTTTGATGAGAAAATATTCCAGATTTACTGATACATTTTTTAATGCCGCAATTTAATTATCTAGTTTCATGTATTTTTAATTTAATTTGTTTTTAATTGATGGGATAGAGAGGGTACATTTAAGTTATCGGCAAATTTTTGAGGAAACGCTTTTTTAAAAGAAAATGCAGCTTTTTGAATCCACCACACTTTATATGCTCCGCTATCAGCCATTTTTCTTTCTCCTTCTCAGCAGAATCATTTCAACTAAATGAAAGGTATTTATTTTATCTTGACAGTTAATCACTAAAATTCTTCTTCTTCTGATTGATTATTTGTCTCTTACACGCTGAATAAATTATGAGCTGGAAAGGCAAATAATGAAATGAGGTACAAAACAAAGAGTAAATCCTCAAAAGAATGTTCTTCGAAAGCATCTCTTGTGCAAAACTAATCAATCACTGTATTTTGCTTTCTTCGATTATGAAGTAAAGACAGGGCATCATCGAAAGTATACCTGAAAGATCTGTCAGTTTTTTCAGTTCGTTCTGAATGTCTGTTTAATTATATTGCATTCCCTCATAGTTCTGTATCCAAATAAAAATGAAAACTCAGTTGGTTCATAACGATTATAAGCAAAGAATTGTTTAGAATAACTTTTAAACATCATTAGAATAGTTTAGTATTTCGACTTCGCAAAAGTATGTTTTATCGGTGTAAATTGAGGATTTAATATGTTTATATATATACAGTAAAGCACCGATTAACCGAACTGCTCGGGTTCGAACGTGGTTCGGATAATGAAAAGCTCGGATAGTTGGAAAGTTGTTTAAAATCTAGTTTAAATGATTATTATTTATGCACTAACTTCTCTTCACACTTTTTTCAGGCTTAGGACTGGCAGTACTATCTAAAATAGCTCTGGCGTGTTTGAAAGTTTTTTTTTAAATTTTTAAATATTTTTCAGTTATTTATTTTCTTACTCTTTTTTAAATCATATTTTAGCTTTTTACAATGTTTTTGTCAATTACTGATTTTACCACATTTTTCTTTATTTTCCATTGCAAAAGAAATCCAGCAAAGACTTTTGTTTCAAAGAAGATGCTCTTTTTTAAGCAGCCATATCTCTTATTCTTTTTAAATAAATCAACTGAACTAGATCAACATCATTTTGACGTTCTAGACTGTCAAAATGAAGCTCGCATTCTTGGAAGATAATTTTCAGTTGAAGAGGGATAAAGGGATATGTAGGTTTAGCTGTATAACAATACATATATGTATGGCTACAATAGGAAAACTGCTAAAAAAAGTTGTAAATTAAATATGGTCATCAAATGTAGTGGATATTGTTTATTCTTCCAAATCTAGAAAAATTGTGGATAGGTTAAAAAGTATACTGAACTTTAAAAAAAAAAAAAAAAAANATTTATTTTAGTAAACAACAAACGTTTAGTTTAAATAGATACGTAAGTGTGAATAAAATGTAATGTAAAGTCATAAGCATCCAAATGATGTAATTTTTTCAGAACATTGAAGGATAGTGTGAGTTGCGTGGACGATATATATATATATACCGAAATCGGTGGTTTTTTACTTCCATTCCACCGGTGTAATTGAACAATCACATAGTCGCTTTGGTAAATATACGAGATATATACTAGGTCCAGTTAAGAGCCTCTGTCCTGTATACATTTGCCCGGTATACCCTATATCAATGTTTTTTAAGGTCAAGTGCCACTGCCCAGTATGCATTTAACCGGTACTCCGAACATCGATGTTTCTCCTAATCTATCCTCAGCAGATATTAAAATATCGAATGAATATAATAAAACGAATAAATTAATATCAAATCGGATATAACAAATATTTCGGACATTCACCAGAGTGACTATGGGATTGTTACCATTCACCGGCGAAAGTCGACATTCTCTTGATTTCGGTCATTCACTCGCGTTACGTGAATATTATAACACTTGACATTCTAATTCAAATGCGTCTTATTGAACGTCATGCTTGTTGGAAACATAATTGTGTAAATAAATAAGTCTGAAGCATCAAAAATATTCATTATTTTTTTAAAATACTAGCTTTGGGAATAATCTACAATGCCTGCATTGCACCTAATTCTGCTAAGTTTTAAGTTATATATGGCCCTAACTCATTTTTTTTCTCGTCTGTGAATTAAATAGTTGTGGTTATTCGCAAACGGTAGAGCTGCGATGGCTCAGGGGATAGAGCGTTAGCCTTCCAATGAGACGAACCGGGTTCGAATCCCAGTCGATACGAATTCTGCATCCGGCTTGCACCGACCACAGTGCTGACGTGAAATATCCTCAGTGGGAGACGGATCATGGGTTGGAGTTCCCTTGCCGTCTGGCTAACCGTGGGAGGTTTTCGTAGTCTTCCTCTCCATGTAGCGCAAATGCTGGTAAGTTCCATCCAAAAGTCCTCCATGAAGGCAAATTTCTCCCAATACTCGATCCAGGAGTTAACTTGCCTTCTGCATTGGGTTCAAAATTATAAGGCTACGGAGTTGAACATTAGTAGTCGTAAACCCATAAAATTGGGTCAACTGTTCAACGACGGTTGTAAAATTATAAAACAATATGGTAAATAGTTAATTTCTCAAAAAAAAAATTTTTTTCTTGATAAAGCTTATCAAATATTGAAATTCTAATCCCCCATCTTATTTATTTTAGTAAACAACAAACGTTTAGTTTAAATAGATACGTAAGTGTGAATAAAATGTAATGTAAAGTCATAAGCATCCAAATGATGTAATTTTTTCAGAACATTGAAGGATAGTGTGAGTTGCGTGGACGATCACATGAAGCATTGCTTTACACCAACTCAGAGGCAAGTCTTTAATCACGTTGTGGCTGGAGCTCGCCAGTTTCTGTTGGAACTCTGCGTCCCAGGATCCATACAAGACGGTGAGTGCTTTGATTCCCTTTTATGAACAACATTCCACGTAACACTCACTGGATGTGTTGGAATACAAGTTTTACTATATAATATCGGATAAATATTATATGGGGTTCAGTATGATATCGGTTCCAGTAGGGTACTAGGATGGGTGTTTCATAAAAAAAAAGTATTCCCGTAACAGCCCATTGTGGGCCAATGGGGGTGGAGCTAAGAGTTCTGAAATTTCGTGAGAACAGCGGCATTATGGAGGCAATAGGTTCAGCATTACCCATCGGCTGCTTTTATTTTCCAAACAAGCTGATACACAACGATTTGAAGCTGATCGAATTCCAGTTCTCCACAATGACAGCTGAATGCCTTAACCTCGAAGCCATAAGTCTGTATACATTTCTGGTTCGATATTGAATAGGGTATCTTATGGGTTCCAGTAGGATACCGGAGTTTCATAAGATGATACATTTTCAATTTGGCAAAGGGTGTGAGTTCTAGTGTAAAATCAAATCTTGTTGTTGTTGTCGTCGGACATTAAGCCAGAGAGGATGCGATTATTTTCGTTTTCCAGTAGCTCCATCCATGGCCAAGAGTTTGACTTATGGCACTCTCGTCTTATAGGGCGAACCCATTCACATATCCATTCAACCACAGATCGTTTTTGGCCTGAACCAGAGAACGATCCATCTCCAATTCAGTACCCCTAGAGGTTTGATATGTTATGGGAGCATGGAGGACTTTGGGACCAGACACATTTAACATTCAACAGTCACCATTTACTACATGGGCTGGATTTGAACTGGATTCCGGCTGGATTTGAACTCCCATTCTCACGAACGTGAGTCAAGTACCCCACCAAACCAGGCTATCTTAGCCACATCAAGTCTTATGTGCTTCTTATATTGAAACATGCGTTTTAGCTTTTGTAATCAACATATTTTTCCCGTGTTGTAATATGAATTAAGCTATGCTTCATAGTCTCTTTTGGCAACATTAAAACTTCTTTTGCAAGCAACATATTCTGTTTTAATGGCGTCCTTTCTATAATTGAAATAGACTGATAAAGGAAATGATACGTTTATGATAGTATCATATTTGGGACATCCCTGACATATTTAATGTAAAGAAGCTAATGAATATAAAAGCTCTAATATCTGTAATATAGATATTAGATTTATTGATTCTTACAATAAAGGAGAAGAAGAAGATACTCTTACGATAAAGGAGAACAAATAAAGGAGAAGAAATTAAAGCTCTTAAATCGGGCAGACATTAAGCTAACCTAATTTGTTTAGCACATATTTTGCGTTTGACAAAAAAATTTATAACTAACTAATTTTAAGAACAAACTTATTTATTTACCTTAAAAAAAATTTTAAAGCATGAAAGCTACATTCAATTACAAACAATTTACAGCAGATCTTAACAATTAATTCGCCATTTACAGCTGACGGCAACAACATGTAGGAATATTCTCTCGAGTAAAAGCAAATGCGGATTAATCGTTCACGAAGTCCAATCCTTTTTAACTCTTATTGTTAACAAAATTAATTTTCTTTACTTGTAGCTTACTTGAAACACTCCCCTTGTTACAAGAATGTGTCACTGTCTGAAGAAAAGTGTGCGCCTTTATATCGGCACTTAGTTCAACTCTCTGCTCAAGTTGACAAGAACAGAGATGTGGACGATCGTCTGCGGGAATCTTGTTGGTGAGTGACCGTACTTAGTTTTGATTCAACGGTTCCAGAAAAAATTACATTGCTCAATTTATAACACTTCTATAACTTTTTTTTTTAATTTTTAAGCAATTTTCAATATATAAATAGAAAGAAAGCGATATACAATAAATGAAATAATTGCAAATGCAATTTTTGTTACACAATGACATTATCGAAAGTCTTGTGGCTATTGTTAGTGAACCAATATGTTTGGTCTTCAACAATTCACAAAATCGTTCAGCCCTTGAAATAATTATTCAGATCAATCCTATTATGTTCATATTCCTTTAATAAAGCCATAATATAATGTAGTTCATTCTGTAATTCCTTTAAAGCATAGTCAGAGAGAATTCTGAAGAATTTCTGAGCCGGTGGAAAAAACTCTACATTTATATATATATATATATATATATTAATTGAATTTTTTTAACTTTTTTTCCCATTCTATGAATGGCGTAAATTTGGTTGGGGACATCCTCACCAAGAAATATAAATATATGAAGTCGAAATATAAGCATTTAATGAGTGTCGTAAAAACTTAGCTATTTTCANTATATATATATATACAATATTCTGTTGTTCATTTTGATAATTTTTTTAAATGGCAGGGAATAGTTTAATTGACCGGGATCTAGAAAATGTCAGCCTACAATATATCGAACAACGGTTCCATATACAGAGAAGAGAATACTGGGCTAGTGTATTCCGAGTAATGATCCTTAGCTCCCGAAGTTAATTAGGTTGGCAACTTTTTTTTCCAATGCCCTAATGATCTAGGTCATACAGGCATCTGAAGGGCAGATTTGTAGGCCATTCCTTCAGGGGCAACATATTGGGCGGGCCAACGTTGCTCCCACAGTAAGGACAGATAGTAGAGAGAAGGAAAGAAACATACATGCCTTGCCCGGAACTCGAACCAGAACCTTTCTGATGCAAGGGCAGTTCCCTAACCCCTACACAGGCCTGTCGGCTGGGTTGACAACCTCATTATTTTAAAAGACTGCGCTTATAAGACAGTTAAGGTAATCTCCAGAACCAGCACCCTAAACGGAATAAGCCAACAGCCCGGAATTGTGACAAATTCCTAATACCACTTCAAATAAAAACGTCTCAAACGAAACCGTTTAAAAATACATATTTGCATACTTTGCTGAAATAAAATCCATTTAAAATGCAAAAACTTCATTCATTTACGAAAACATATGTTTCTAACCATTTATATTTTGGTAAAATTTCTTAAAAAGTCATAATGAAAGAAAATTATCTAACCATATATTAAGCTCTAAATTGTTTGAAAACACATCTATAATTAATAACCAAAATAACTGTTTATCGTTATATTAATGAGTTTTAATAAAATACAGTATGTATATATATATATATTTTTTAATTTGGTGTAAACTGTTTTAAATGCTTGAGTTCATTCACAATGACTGTTTTCTTTTTAATGACAAATCAACGATTTCGTTATTAAAAGAAAAAGTACCTCACATAAGACTCTAATACACCAAGACGTAAAAATGAATGCAATAGTTTAATTTCAATATTAAAAGTGTATCCAGAACAAAAAATGTTTTTTTTTAAATTTCCAAAACTTGAATAGCAATAGAATGAAATGAAACAGTTAACGAAAAGTACTTTCGATGTAATGACTCTTTAAAAATAAAAAAACATCAGTAAAATACCTTTGATCTTTCATCCACTAGAATAATCTTCAAGAAGAAAAGAAAAAAACTTCATTTTAATGCACTTATTTGATTTATCAAATATATCAAAAGAATATCTAAATCCATTAATTTAAACGTTAATTCTTTTTACAAATTTCATCAAGATCGCTCTCTTATTGCCACTCACGAAAGAAATGTTTTTATTCAGCAAAATAATTCCCATTCAATTCATTAAATAATCACCTCCTTACGAAAAATGATTTTTTTATGGAAACAATTTATTGAGTAGAAAGGGAAACCTTAATTGAATTACGATGTTTTGGAGAAACATGTGTTTCTATTTACCGGATCAGTGGTCGTTCGAATAGAAGTCTCTTTTATTTCTTTAACAGTGCTTAAAGATTCCGATACGAATTCTGGGGAACGGCCAGATAAATAAGAATTTCTTCTTTTTTAATTAAAAAATAGGCTTTAAGCAGGATCAGAGTTGGGACACAGTTGGAGAAATAAAAATCTTCATGTTTGAAAATTAAAGTTTTGATTAAATATTGCGAGCAGCATAAGCTTCAGTATAAAGAATTAAAAGCTGTTATTAAAATTTACTTTCTTTTTTAAAAAGTTGAATTTATGTAGGGAAAATTTGAACAAAATACATTGTTTCAATACTAGTTTTTCAACGAGGAACTAGTTTTTAAATATTTTAATAATTGATTTGAATTCTTCAGATTCTACGCCAGAGCACCTTTTAAATGGATTTAACTTAGTAGCGAGCATGGTTTGCTAAGCAAACCATATAAGATAATATATCAATTCTCGAGGGTAAGGGAGCTACAACAAATAGGTGACGAGCATAGGTTGTTGTTCTTGTTTTAGTTCATTTACGTCGCACTAGAGCTGAACAATAGGCTATTGGCGACGGTCTGGGAAACATCCCTGAGGATGCTCCGAAGACATGACATCGAATTTCAAGATGAGTATAAAATACTGAAATTTCAGTTAAAAATGTGACTCTTCACATTGCTCTATTTGTATATTCGAAGAACTTTTCAGTTCTGAAGTTGGGCAACTAATTTCACTTAATGTTGAAACTCAAATTAAGCATCTACATTAGGTTAAATCGTCAATCTCCTGAAAAACAGAACACGTCACATTGCAATCAGTGTAATCTTTCAGTTATACAGCATGAACATTATTTTCATAATAACTCACAAGCCATTTAACTGGCATTTAAATAACGAACGTATTCAAATTCGACGCATCAAATTTCAAAAAAAAAAAAAAACATCTTCGTTTGATATCAAGATTTTGTGTTACCAGCTGTGATGTAGCCTCGTAAGTTTCCTATCAGCTACATTTAGTCTATCGTGTAGAGTTAAAAAAATTTTAAGCCTTTTCCTTTTAATCCTCACTATTACTGTGCACTATTATCTGATAGACCAACATCATTCATTTTGCTCATTTTAGAGATTATAAATTTTTTGCGGATCTGCCGTGACGGCACTGATATAACTTAGTGAAGGACTAGGGATAAATCTCCGGTGGTGGATTGCAGCTCAACCAGCTTCAGATAAAAGGGTACCAGCTTATCTGAGACGTGAAAGTGGGAGCTGCACAATGTTGACCACATTATTTTTAATTTTATAACCCTCATTGAGCAGCAGGCCCAATTTTAACTTTACGACTACCAATGTTCAACTCCGTAGCCTCGAACTTTGAACCCAATTCAGAAGACCAGTTCAGATTCAGCTCCTGAATCGAATATTGGAAGAAATTTGCCATTGTAGAGGGCATTTCGAGGGAACTAACCCTCATTTGAGTTTCATAAAGAGCGATAAAAAAGAAAACCTCCCATAGAAAGGAAACTCTAACCCATGATCCGTCTACCACTGAGGATACTTTACGTAAGCAGTGTAGTCGGTGCGTCGGTGCATACCGGTGTGAAATTCGTATTGACCAGCCATAGCTGGGATTCAAACCCGGATCACCTCATTGGGAGGCGAACACTCAATCCCTTGAGCCATTGATCTCGAAATTGCGGGCCTGTGACAACCATGATCTTCTTAGCTGACAACCAACTTTTGGAAGAGGGATCTAGTATAATTTTTCCACCTTTAACAGCAGGCGTTTTATGATGTTGATGTTATATAATAACTTAACTTTCAAACAATGCAAACTATTGTATGTATATTATCTTATAATGTATGTTCAATGATTCTTACATATTTGTTTTATCACTTTCAGTACTTTTAATGATTTTGTAGTCTGCAAGTACACCTATGTAAGTCAAGATTGTGGTCAAGACGCTGCTCGATTTCTGCAACAGCACCTAGACCAAATCTCCAGTCCTCTTATCCAAGAACATTGTGCACACTACACATATGGTGCAGATTCTTGCACTTCAACATCATTCGCTCAAAGTCTATTTGAACAATCTTTTGCACTACTTTCTCTTCCAATGATAATTGCGTTGAACAGACTCAAACCAACTCGGTAGTCAAGAACGACATTTTTTATTTTATTTCAAGGACAAAACTTTCAGAAATACTTTCTCACTCAAACTTTAGGTTTCTTTTCCCTTTTTAAGCACAATATATTGATTTATTATTGAATTGAAAGAAAAGGAGATGCAAGTAACAATACAGCTTTTATAAGTTGTTGTTTGAAGAAATGGAAAGCAGAAATGTCTAATAATTAATTATTCAGAGAAAATGACTATGTTCATTTAAATTTCGATATTATAACTTAAGACTATTTCTTCTGATGTCATTTTTATTGTTGTTCACAATCTAAATCAGAAATAATTAAAATTTAGTTTCAATTTATTCGCGCAGCAAAAAAATCTAAACTAGATTTTCAAAACTGTTTTAATCTCAACAAAGCATAATCTCAGACGTATACAATAGTCGGAACCATTTTAATAGTAAATGAGCTATTTCATAAACTTTTTTGACGTCTTAGAAACGTCAAAACGACGTTTTAGAAGAATTATTTATACAGAGAATTAGCTGTTCTGTTTTTTTTATTTTTTGGAAACAACATATCAGATAATTATACAGTGAATTAGTTGTTCAATGTATACATGAATTAGTTGTACAATTAATTAGCTGCTATATTTACAACATAACAGCTAATAATTCAACGAAGTAGTTGATCTGTTATGAAATTTTGTTGCAACATCAAAAATTTACACAAAAAAAGTTTTATTTTATTTATCCGAAGTATGTTAACATCATAACCATTTACTAAAGTAATTTCAATTTTTTGATATTATTTAATAAAATCACAAGTAATTAAACTATTATTCTAATAAAATGCCGCGTAAAAATAATCAATTATTTTGACATTTTTGTGAAATGTAAGTTATTTTTGACATTAGATTCGAAGTTGCACAAAATTTGAAAGTTAAATTCTATATACGAGTATTTTTATTGTAAATAAATAATAGCTCATTTTCCAGTAGTCATTAAGAAGTAAAACAAAGCGAATGATAATTTTTTTAGATAAATAGTCATAAATATATATATTTATCAATGTTTAGCTGTGATAAAATTGATTTTGTGTTGCGGAGAAATGAAGTTTATACCATTGAGCTTTTTTATTTTATTTTTTAAGTTCAGTGGTATTAATCTTTCGGGATATATGCAAATTCCACTGAAAGTAAAAAAAAAATATGTAAGTATACCTAAAGTATATCATATTAAAGAGATAAAATTGTCGGAATGTATATGTCACCGTGAATGACCGAAATCAAGAGAATGTCGACTTTCACCGGTGAATGTCAACAATCACGTAGTCCCTTTGGTGAATGACAGAAATATTTGTTATATCCAATTTGATATTAATTTATTCGTTGATATTAATATATTTATTCGATATTTCAATATCTGCTGAGAATAGATTAGGATAAACATCAGTGTTCGGAGTACCGGTTAAATGCATACTGAGCTGTGGCACTTGAACATTGATGTAGGGCATATCGGGCAAATGTAGCTAATCCTAATATATATTTCGGACATTTACCGAAGCAACTATGTGATTGTCAACATTCATCAGTGGAATTCAACAACCCCTAATTTCGGTCATTTACAATAGCACACACATACGAGGGTTGTAAATTAAATAGTGGCAACTTAACCTTGAAACTCACAGAAGGGTGGGCATGCGCAAATCGGGTATGGGTGCGGTGAGGTGGCCCTGTTGTCGATGTGTAGAGTGAGAAAAAACGGTCGTTCTGCTAAGAAGGGTGGTTAATGCGTGGCGTTAAAGTGTGGAGTTTCGTTTCCATCGCTCTAAAGCATGTTGTCAAAAGGCTTAATGACGAAAAAAGACGAGATGCTTGAACCCATCGTGCTACTGTCCTATACGGTAAAGCATTTGCGCCACAGACTTCCACTAATCCTCGACAGCATTCTGTTGCATTTTTGCCACGGGCAACCTCGATTTTAAGCCACGACCACTGATCACTTTTTGAAAACATGCCTTTGAGCGATGGAAACGAAACTCCTCACCCTAACGCCACACAACAGCTACCCTTCTAAGCAAATCGACTGTTTTTTGCACTCTACACATCGACAACAGCGCCACTTCACCACTCCCATATCCTATTTGCGCATGCTCGCCCTTCTGTTGTGAGTTTCAAGGNATATATATATGTTACGATATTACATAGCTGCCAATGCTTCAGATGTTCTGGTTAATTTTTTAAGCGTAGGCAATAAATCTACTGGCAAATGTAATAAAATGTTGTTTTTGAACGCCACTACTAATAAATAATTTAAACCTATGTATAAAGGACAAATACTCAGATGATGCTGTTTTTTCAGATGTTGACAAAATTAATAAAACAATTTGCTCATAATTGCAATCCAATTAATTTTCTACTAAACATTTAATTTTACTTCGAAAAGTGAAAATATTGCACAATAATGGAACACTTAATAAACAATATAAATAAACGTTTAATCATCGATAAAAATTGAAGTAATTTTCATAAAAACTTCTTGATTTAAAAATATTATATTTGATTGAAATATTTTTGTATACATTATATAAAAATGAAATATTCACAGAAAAGGAAAATTTCTTTAATATAGCAAATGTATATAATTAAATAAAAGTCATTAAACTGCGATTTTTATCATTTTATTTTATTTATAACGTTAAAACTTCTATATGTTAGTACTATTATTATATGTCAAGGTTTCAGATGATATAAAACGAAATACTTCTTCTTTGAATTTAAGTTCTTAACTACTTAAGTTCTTAACAACTACTTAATTGTCACGTTAACTATTTCTGATCGGATTAAAGTCTAAGAATACACCTATGGAAGCCACGTAATTTTGATCAAGGTCAGATGAAATTGTCGTAGCTTGACATTTATGGTCAAATCACGTTCAATTCTTCAGATGTTTATTTCTTTATTTACAGTCTTTAAGTACAAGTTTTTTTTCCGGCCCGTGAGGTAAGGAATATTTTTGTTTCACTATTATTCGGTGGAACACATAAAATGGTTGAAGAAAAGTTTTGGAATTTTATGTAGTTTTAAAAAAAATGAAAACAGCTGTTTTGTGCGCACTTGCAAGAAAAGGAGGATTTTAAACATGATTTTTATTGTCTTTTTTTAGACATGTTAATACATTGAACCAAACCACAGCTCAAATATGCACAAAATTGACTTATAAACTTTCAAAAAGTTTTTAATGTGTTTAAAGCTAGGTAAGTTTAAGATTAATTCTTGTTGTTGTTGTTTCTAATGGCACTTGCCATTACTAGCAAACCTGCTTGGTAGAACCAAGCGAATTTAAGGCAGAGGGTGCATTTCTTGTTTTTCAATTGCGCCATCTATGATCAAAAATACGACTTCAGCCACACGCACGTTGCAGCCCGGTTCAGAGGGTGGACCCATTCATTCATAAACAGATCGTATTCTTGACCTGAACCAGAAAACGATCAATCTTCAATTTAGTACCCATAGAGGTATTGATTTGTAATGGGAACTAGGAGGACTTTGTGACTCCACATATTTAGCGTGCACCAGTAACCATTTACTACATTTCGGCAGGCCGGGACCGAAGAAACTACCTCTTAGACATTGGCCCAACTCTCTACCTACCAACCTATCCCGGCACAGTAATTGTTTTTTCGTTTTGGGTGATGACTGAGATTTTGAATTTGGACACACTCCTCTGCATAAGTTGACTTCATTTAAAGTATTCCATTTCTTTAGTTAGCGTGCTTATAATGTTTCCCCGAATAAAAACAATTTGGTAAAAAAAACGAAAAAGGTATTTACTGAACACCTTATTTGGGAGCTAAGTAGTTAAACGGTATGAAAAAATATGTTTTCTGACATTCAACCATGAAAATGCACTTTTAGGAAAATATATTTTATCGTCCATAAATATACAAAATGAAAGGAAAATAGCTTTTTCATGCAAAAATAGAGTTTAAAATAAGAAAGTAGTCTCACAAAGTGTGACAGTTTCTAAATAAAATATGGTTGATAAATTGACACTGTGACATAAAATCTTATAATTTATAAAACAAGGTTATATAACCCATCTTATAATTGATCAACCCAGAAAATAACACCGAACGTAAAATAAAATCTTGATATTAAATTAAAAGCATGTTAGCGGTTGTAATTTAATATTTTAACAGCCACATCAAGCGTGACTGCTGCATGAAACTTGAAGGTGTTTCTAATATTCACCTTCTCACACTTTATTCCGGCAATCAAACAGGTTTTGGATATTTTTAAACTTTCTCTTTTCTTGTTAAGGATCCTTCAGATTTTCCCTTGTTTATCCGAAATGCAGTTGTTTCTTAATTCAACTTTATTAGGATTTTAAGAATATATGTATACTAGGGCGATTTTATTACTGAACAATTAGAAAAAAAAGTTGTACAAGATTTGTTTTGATATTTTAATGTTTTAATAATGATACTTACAAATAAATAAAATTAAAACTAGATAGTAAAAGAATATTAAGTTTTTGAAACTTATACAACATAAAATGTCTGTTAAGATAATTGCACAAAAAATGTATAAAAGTGGTGAAAATAATCAATCAAACATAAAGGTTGCATCACTGCCATGGGATTCGGATTTTGTTTCATAATGCAATTAATGTTTAATATTTTAATAATAATGTTTACAAATAAATAAAAGTTTTAAAGTTCATGAGGCTCGGAATGTGCATAAGCTATTTATTTTGAGACAAATTAAATGCTTTCTTAGACCTCGTGAAAGAAAAACACATTTGCTATATTTTTGTGCGTACCGTAAGGACAAAGCTATACTTGCAAAACTGTTTTACTANTTTTTTTTTTTTTTTTTTTTTTTTTTTTTTTTTTTTTTTTTTTTTTTTGAAGCAGAAAAACTTGGGTACCAATGTTGTGGCCTCAAACTAAATAACATATTCTAATATTAAGCTCCTCAAAATCTATAAAAAATTATTTTATTTTAAATAAAGATTACATGTCATTTTCTCATAAGCTATTGGTGGAACATAACGCGACTAGTTTTACTAAAAAGTACTTAGTAAATAGGTTCTTAATTCAAAATTAATCATTTCTTAAATTGCTAAAACTAAAAACATTTCTTAAAACTTTCTTCTATTTTAATGGTTTAGAGGGTTTTTATGGCTCTAACTTTTACATCTGAATCTTCAATCACAAATCAGTAGTACACAGAATCATCAGTACACTAAAGCAAATACAGTTTTCTAATAAAAGGTGTGTTTGTTGGATGCAATTCTAAGTTTGATGTTCTAAAACCGCTTCAACTGTCGAATTTTAATATCTCGATAAAACAGTATATTGTCAATATGAACAATATTTTCAATTTAAAATTTATTGGTTATTAGACTATTAAAATGCCTGAAATCAAGAAGAAAATTTCCAATAATTTTTAGCACTGTTACTTCTAAAAAAATTCTAAATAAAAATGAAAATTTATAAAGGCTTTTTTTTCATCCAAAACAATGTGTCAGTTATATTTCAGAGAAAGTGAAGAATGTAATATGCATATGAAATTATTATTTTACTGTGCTTAATATACAGAGTGAATGAGAATTATATGACGAACTTTAACTCACGAAAAAAAACTCTTGTAAAAGCTGCTCTTTCATGTTTTTGACGTAATTTTTTTCATGTTGTATAATCATTTTATTGTGCATTTTTTAAAAAAATCATTTTTATTAGTT